CTTCTGGTTAGCAGTCAAGTGCTTTAGCCACTATGCTACCAGAGCTCCTACTATCTAGAATAGCACTATCCAATACAGTAGCCACTAGCCACATGTGGTTACCAAGCATTTGAAATGCATGTGCATGTAGCAAACTGAGAACAGCGAGCAGGAAGGTAAGGATTTCTATTCTATGCACTGGGGATGTCTCTAATGATACCTAATTAAAAACATCCTACTCTGTGATTTCCAAATTCTTAATCCTCACTGTCTTTTAATTACTTTGAGGATTTATAGTGTGCTACCTAGTATTCTTCCATGGCAAAGAAAAGACATAATAATGATGATGATAAAATAGTTTTCAGGTATTGATGACTCACAACAATGCTATCAGATAGCAAATTACTACTGTATTATTTTACAGATTAGAAAACTAAGGTACAGAAAGATTTAAACAATTTTCTTACCATCACATACCTGCTAAGAGGAACCCTCAAGGAAGTGAGCCAAGGCATCATGCTTGACTCTAGAGTCTTGTACTTAACCACCACGTTAAAACAAAAACAAACCAAACTCACTGCCATCGAATCAATTCCGACTCACAGCAACTCACTTTGGGTTTCTGAGGTGGTAAATCTTTATCAAAGTAGACTGCCCAGTCTTCCTTCTGTGAAGTGGCTGGTGGAACTGAACTGCCAACCTTCTGGTTAATAGTCAACGCCTTAGGCACTATGCTGCCACCATGTTACATGGCCTTATAATAGTCCAGGAATTTTATCTTAATGCATATTGTATAATGTAACATAAACCCAAAAAAACAAACCAAACCAAACCAAACTCACTGCAACCCTGTTGGGTTTCCAAGGTTGTAAAGCTTTACAGAAGCAGACTGCCTCATCTTTCTTCCTCAGAGTGGCTGGTGGGTTAGAACCACCAACCTTTTGGTTAGCAACCAAATGCCTTAACATCACCACAGCTCCTTAATACAAAAGTAAAAGAAGCTAAAATACATTAAGTAAAATCCTATCATAGACGTGATCACAGGATCAATGAGCCTATGCTATAGTGGTGAAGTAAAGGATAGAGCAGGGCAGAAGGAGTAGAACAAGCATTTATGGTGCTCAAATACTCCTACTTGGACCTTCTCTCCTAGCAAGGTTAATTAGCTTCTTAACTCTTTCCTCTACCCCCTTGGTAGAAGAGTAATACAGAACACAGAGAATCATCTCAATGAGACAAAACGAGGAAAGGAATTTGGAGAGCAATTTACTATCTTAAAATTTTACCCCAAAATTGTCTACAGTTATAAAGGGCTTCTCACATTCCTATTGTGTCCTTTCTGTTTAATCTCATTTTAAAAAATCAAAGTTTCATTAGTATGTTCCAAAGGCTCCCTTCACCTTGAATTTTTTCTATTTCTAACACTAATTAAAAAAGAGTGTTAGAGTACTGTAAACAAAACAGCAGCATCAAATTAAACTCAGCATTGTAAGTAGAAAATTAAATTTCATACTACAGACCTTTAAACTTCATTAAAAAGAGATTTATCATCGTTAAACAGGTAGATTATAAAATTTCTTCTGTACAGCTACCGAAAGATTAGAAACTAGATAACCTTTGGAGGCTCCATGCTATAAACCTATTGGCCAATACAGAAAAGAACTGGGCAAATTGAAACCATGCTACCTTTGAGTTTTTCACTACTTCTGAATGAAGCTCCATATATCTTATTCATTTCTGTCACACAACCCTCCAACTACTTTCATAATATCTATATTCAGTGTATATTTTTCACATGCTTTCTAAATGGCTTCTCACTCATTGATTCTCAAGACAGTTAATTCTGGTTTTCCTTCAGTCAACCCATTTTTGATGTGAAAGAGAAAGCAACTACAATAACATGTTATCTACTCCTCAGTAAACAGTTAACAAGATTTTATAAATCTTTATCAAGATGTTCATAATTTTGCTCAGCGCAGTGTTTTATATTTGTATCACTCTATCTTTACAAACCATGCAGTCTTCTAAGGGAAAAAAAAACAAAAAACCACATTCAATTAAGATTTGTACTCCTAAATTCATGAAATTTAAGAAAAAATAGGGGAAAGTAGGAACAAAAAACAGAACCCCCAAAGTTCATTCTTAATGTGGTAATTTTTTTAAGAAAAAGACTTTTTTTTCTTCAACAGAACTTATATAGCACTTAAAAAAAAAAGTCAGCATGTCTAAGACTTCTAAATGCATTTAAAGACCAAGAATTAATTGTCTTTATTTTGAAGTACTACATGTGTTCTCTGATGAAAGAAATTGAGCTACTTAAAAAAATAATAACTTTAAAAAGTGTAAATTATTACACTATTTTTAGAAGCAATTTTCTGTATGAATATCAAACATTATATTCCTAAAACATATTTTTTATGATTCCTTGGTCAAAATATTAATTTTAAAAGACTAAAATCAACTACAAAATAAACAGCAAGCTAAGAGTTACAGTGTTTTGCTTCACAATACAAAGATTAGTGATTCAGATTCCAATGCTTAGAATAATTCTAAGAAAGGATATACTATGATACTTAGTTATGAATGTTACTGTTCAAAAATACTTTATACATAAATATCTACCACCCACTCCACCCTCAGTATCCTACCCACCAGAAGCAAAAAAAAAACACCCTAAAAAAGGCCTATTCATGCTGACTCAAGTGTATCTTCAAGCACTTAAGATTAAAAATAAATTAATAAATAAACCACTATGCCCAATTACATAGGGTTACAAGCTTAAGTCTCTACTCACACAGTTGAGGTTGATGACCAAACAGCTGTCCTGTATCTTGAGACAGACATTAGCTTCCTGCCTTCCCTATCCTCATAAGCAGTTAATTAAAGTTTGAGTTTTATGCAAGAAAACATTTTAAAGCCTTCAGAGTTTTACTGCAGCAGACTTCAGATTCATTCCTGTAACACATTTAACACGAAACAGAGTTGAAACAATTAAAATTTATTACGTACCACATTTTTATCATCTAAAACTTTAAGGAGTGCTTTCCCTACTACAGCTACATAAAAAGGGTTGTTAAGTTAAAATTAAGAAATAAAAACATTCCATTCAGTATTTTGACACCAGTATACTACTATAATGATGTGTGACTTTAAAGTGTGGATTTTCACTGGGCCACAGGATAGGTGAGCAAAAATTTCATTTTACAATCATTGTAATGTTTTACAATCATTGTACCCAAAGTAAATAAAACTAGGTATCTTTCTATTTTCCTCATGTTTAGTTCATTTAGTTATTTAAATTAAATAAACAGCCAACAACATTACAAATAGCCAGTGGAGAGACTTCAGAACCCCAAGAATAATCTTTATAGCTCCTGACAAGGAAGAATGAGATTGTTTTCTGTTGTGACAGCAGCAGGAGGCATGTTTCTGAAATCTTTTGTGAGGTGTCTAACACATTTTCCCACAGATTCAAATTTCTATAGTATCATTGCTGCTTCAGGTTAACTAAATGTGGGAAGACTTGCCTAGAAAATAAACATTTTATCCTACTGACACTGAACTTCCACAAAAAAAAATTACAAAAAGTTTCTAATTAGGAGCTAATTTCAGTAACAAGATAAAAATCTTTCATTTCTCTATCCAATTTATAAATATACATAAGTAGGCAGTTATAACAATAGTTTGCATAACTGAAGTACACAGTAAACAATAGATTCTAATAGACTCTAGCTTCCAGAAATTTCTTAACATTTTTTAAAAAGTTACTCAGATAAAAATGAAGTCCCGTTTAACAAACTAAAACATATATTGCATTCCCATATCTTATCCAACCTCATTTTAAATAATAATCTAACACTATTATCAAGCATAACCTTTAATACATAGCACTAGAAAGCCACATGCAAAGAAAGATTTTTAGACTCAGATGTTTTAATAATGTTCCTTTTCACTGCATTTTTTTCCTACAACTTTAAGCAAACTTCAATTAAAATGTCCTAAAACACCAAGATAAATACTTTTCTCCATAGCTCCAATATCAGGCTAAAATTTTAAAGTAAATATCTAGGAAAAGGCCTAAGATTTCACTAATAATAAATTTACTATTTACAGTACCAACATGGCTTAAAAACACCTTGAGAAATAAGCATCCAACCACTCTAATTTCATTAACTTTTCTTTTTTAAATCATGGTTTGGGTGAAACTTTACAGAGCAAATTGATTCAACAATTTATACATATTTTGTTTTGTGGTATTAGCTGCAATTCCCTCCATTGTAACAGCACTCTTCCAGCTTCCTCCCTGGATTCCCTGTTTCTATTCATCCTTCTTTCCTGTCTCTTCCTGCCTTCTGAGCTTTATTTTTGGACAAATGATGTCCCTTTGGTCTCATAGGGATGATTCAATGACTCATTTTAAAAGTATAATTTAATGCTAAAGTATTGTGAATTTGCTATACATATTCAAGGATTCATTGAACATAACTCAAAGGCTTCTATAAAATCTATTTATACTGTACATACATAAATAAATGATTTAAGGATTAATTCAAAATTTCATAAAAGTTGTAATGTCAGAGTGTCTTTCAAACAAGTTAAAATATCTTTCACACAAGCATCACATAGTTTTGCTCAAGAGCCTGTGTTTTAGTAGAACTTCTTAAAATTTTCTGATTTTCACCATAGGTTTAAATGAGCTTGGTATACAACACAATAGCTAAAAAACAAATGGTACCAATCTAAGGCTGAAAACAAAAGCATGCTCTCTGGATAATAATAATTATCATTTAATGAGTGCTTATACTGTGTAACAGGTACCATGTTGAGAGCTTTACATGAACATTTAATCCTCATTTTATTCTAAAAGGTAGATACTATTATTACCACCTCTTTATAGACTATGACCTAGGTTTAAAGATGTTAGCAACTTGTCCAAGATCACAGAGCTATCAAGTGTCATAGCTAGCACTTGAATCCAGATCTATTTGATTCCAAACCCTCTCAAGCATCAAGCTAGACCACAGCTGGTATTAATCCACTGTACTAATCCCAAGCCATATCTGGAAGAGAACCCAAATTTGGATACCATATGGTAAGTGTAATATTTATAAATGCATGTATCAGGAAAGCCACCTCTTAAGAAATGATTATCAGAAATGGGAATAAAATAGAGAAAAAGCAAAAAGGAACACAGTTTGAAGGACTGTTAGAGAGAAAACGGCTTATCACATCAGGTGGCACAGGAGCACAGAACTTGAAACAATGTGTGGAAAAGTCTCAGGAGACAAATTCCAGTTCAACACAAAATATTTCCTAATGCCAAGGAATCCAATGGCTAAAACAGGCTCCCCTGTATAGTATTGAGCTTGTGCAGTTAAATATTTGAGGCTTAACTATCATAGTACTGTTTTTTTTTTTTTTTTGCAAATAAAGTACATGCTATGTCAGAACTGTTTTACTTCACTTTATCATTTCTATGCATTATATGTGTGGACATGAAATTTACTTGGATATGTTATTTTGGGAAATACGGTAATAATTAATTCAAGCAAGAATTACTAAAGAATGGTAAAATCAGGGGAAGAAAGTTTGATGAAGAACAGTATATACTGACAGTTTCAAAGCATCTCCTCCAAGGTTACTTATGATAAAAGGAAAACTAGTAACTCATAAACAGAAGAATCTAATAACACCACATTAACCCAAAGATCAAAATTAATATGACTGATGAAGGAAGAAAGGGGCATATGCCTCCTGGTGTGTGCTGCACTGTCACATTTCTGCCAAAATTACATTTCCTAAATTTAATCATAAGAAAACATACAAACCCTAATTGAAAGAGATTCTACAAAATAATTAAGTGGAAGTATGTGGAAGGCTGGCAGGGAACAAAGATGTAAGACACAAATCTAGTAACTCTTACCAATTAGCATGTGAATAAATTAAGATATTGTTGTTATCATTGTTAGGTGTCGTCGAGTCATGTCCAACTCATAGCGACTCCATGCACAGCAGAATGAAACACTGCCCGGTACCATGCCAGTCTCATGATCCTTGCTATATCTGAGCCCATCGTTGCAGCCACTGTGTCAATCCATCTCGTTGAGGGCCTTCCCCTTCTTTGTTGACCCTCCACTTTACCAAGTGTGATATCCTTCTCCAAGGAATGGTTCCTTCTGATAACATGACCGAAGTAGGTGAGATGAAGTCTGGCCGTTCTCGCTTCCAAGGAGCATTCTGGTTGCACTTCTTCCAGGGCATATTTGTTAATGCTTTTAACAGTCCATGGTACTCTTAGCATTCTTCTCCAACACCACAACTCAAAAGGATCAACTCTTCTTCGGTCTTCCTTATTCACTGTCCAGCTTTCACATGCATAAGAGGCAACTGAAAATACTATGGCTTGGATTAGGCACACCTTAGTCTTCAAGGAGACACCTTTGCTTTTCATCACTTGAAAGAGGTCTTTTGCAGCAGATTTGCCCAATGCAATATGTGGTCTGATGTCTTGACTGCTGGTTCCATTGGTGTTGACTGTAGAACCAAATAATATGAAGTCCTTGACAAATTTTCTTTTCTCCATTTATCATGAAGCTATTTATTGGGGCCAGTTGCAAGGACTTTTTTTCTTTATACTGAGGTGTAATCCACACTGCAACCTGTAGTCTTTAATCGTCATCAGTAAGTCCCTCAAGTCATGTTCACTTCCAGGAAGCAAAACTGCATCGTCTACGTATTGCAGGTTGTTAATGAGTCTTGCTCCAATCCTGATGCCACTCACTTCTGCATATAATCCAGCTTCTTAAATTATTTGCTCAGCATACAGACTGAATAAGGATACCACCTTGATGCACACCCTCCTGACTTTAAACCATGCAGTATCACTTTGTTCTGTCTGAACTACAGCCTCTTGGTCTATGCACAGGTTCTTCATGAGCACAATTAAGTGTTCTGGAATCTCCATTCAACCCAATGCTATCTATAATTTGTTATGATCCACACAGTCCAATGCTTTAACGTAGTCAATAAAACTCAGGTAAACATCTTTCTGGTATTCTTTTCTTTCATTCAAGATCCATCTGACATCAGCAATGATATCCCTTGTTCCATGTACTCTTCTGAATTCAGCTTGCATTTCTGGAAGTTCCCAATCAATATACTGCTGCAACCATGTTTTAATTATCTTCAGCAACACTTTACCTGCGTGTGATATTAACAATGTTGTTGTTGTTATTATGTGCCATGGAGTCGGACCCAACTCATAGTGACTCCTCCTTGGGTTGCTGAGGCAGTATCACTATGGAAGTAGATTGCCCAACCTTCCTTCTGAGGAGTGGCTGGTGAGTTTGAACCACCAGCCTTCTGTTCGATAATTTCCACATTCTGTTGGATCACCTTCTTTGGAATGGGTGCAAATATGGATCTCTTTCAGTCAATCAGTCAAGTAGCTGTCTTCCAAATTTCTTAGCACAGATGAATAAGCACCTCCAACGCGGCATCTGTTGAAACATCTCAATAGATATTCCGTCAATTCCTGGAGGCTTGTTTTTTGCCAATTCAGTGAAGCTTAGACTTCTTCTTTCAATACCATTGGTTCTTGATCATATGCCGCCTCCTGAAATAGATGAACATCAATCATTTTTGTAGAGTGACTCTGTGTATTCCTTCCATCTTCTTTTGATCCTTCCAGCATCGTTGAATATTCTGCCCATAAAATCCTTCAATAATGTAACTCCAGGCTTAAATTTATTCTTTAGTTCTTTCAGCCAGAGAAATGCCAAGCATGTTCTTCTCCTCTGATTTTCCAACTCCAGGTCTTTGCACGTCTTGTAATATTTTGTCTTCCTGAGTCACCCTTTCAAATTTTCTGTTCAGCTCTTTTACCTCATCATTTCTTCCATTTGCTTTTGCTACTATCCATTCAAGAGCAAATGTCAGAGCCTCTTCCCTAAGGC